ACCGACACCAGCAGAACCGGTTGGAGGACTGGAACGAGTTTCGTGCGTTCTACTACCGGAGGCTCAAAGCATATGAGAAACTGGTCGCGCCGGCGGAGCAGAACCTATTGCTCAGAGAGAAGGAATTGAAGGATGCCCAAGCACGACTGACCGATGTCATTAGCGATCCTCAAGTCCTGAGCGCTCGAATAGGGGACATTGTGGACTCGAGACGAGCGGTTGCTGAGGCGAACTTGAGAGTGGAATCAGCGGAGAAAGAATTAGAGGCCGCGAAACGAAACAAATCAAAGAGAGAGACCGCGCTGGTTGAAATAGCGCAAAAGAAACTCCAATCTGCAAGAGACAACCTAAAGCAGGTATCTGGATCTGAAGAAATGAGAAGACTCCGTGATGGCTCTGAACTGCAGTGCGCCGACTTAGTTATGGTTAGGGCTGGAGCTAGGCGAAGGGCGGCGCAGCTCGATGTCAAGAGATGGGAAGTGTTTGTGAAGTGGATCGACGACCAATATTCCGCCATCGCGGCCGAGTGCGGGTACATTGACAATGACAGCAGGAACAATGTGACCCACCAGTTTGGGGGTAATGGCCATTGGCCAGAAGCAGACACTGCGTGCTCGGCCGCATCGGCGAAAAGGTGCAGAGACCAAGTCTGTTTGGGAGTATAGTATCGACCAGGAAATGCACCTTCTTTACACATTCTCGAAGAGGTTGCGACCGCGCAACCTTTTCGAGCCGGATGTAGGAGGAATTCTTCGCTTTCACTTTCAAGATACAGAAAAGCTTCTGCGTTGACGCGGCAGAGGATGGACGATGGACCAGGTGGAGATTATGGAGATCTGACGGGGCTTTGACGAAGGAGACGATCCTGTCCCAGATCTCTTGAGATACGGCTGAACCCGCCATCAAACGTCAGTGATGGTCTGCCCTGCGGATTGAAAGTGCGCCTACCCGACCATCCCGCTGGAACTCTCGTCGTATTCCCGTTCATCCTCGTCTAAGACGCCCCGAGACTCTCTTGTCGTCCGGCACGTGAACGTCACACCTCTGCTGGGGTGCCTTGGAAGGTACAGGTGGAACACTTCGCTTTCTGAGATGTGGTTGTATCCGCAGTATTGTACAGGCTGAACCCGGCCAGGCTCGATGGCGTCCGCCAGATTGGGTCGGGTTATCGTGGAGAAGAAAGCCTCTTGGTTTTTGGGGCGGACGACTTCCTGATGTGCCACGGGACTGTATGTTCGATGTTTGAAAAAGCCGGGGGGAAAGTCAATGAAGATCTAGACTAGTTTGATGAAATAAAGAAGGCCCGGCCTTTTTCCAACCCGCGTGGGGACGGAGGCACAATATATTTTCTTCGCTCTCCTGTCTGGCCACGGCCAGAAGGTCCAGTGGACGACGACAGTAGCGGGGCTTTCGGTTATATCTCTCTTCTCGAACGGCCAGCCGCACAGCCGGTATGACCGGTTAGTTGGCCTTTCTTCTAGAGCCCATTTGGAAGGCTAAACCTTCCTCGCCCCTGGGCGGGGACCGAAGCCGCAGGTACGTTCCTCTTCCTTTGATGTCCACAATATTTTTGAACTGTTCGTCGGCCAATTGAAGCTTTCCCGGCCCGGTGCCTGGAAGAATTATAATGGGAGTGTGTGAGAGAATGCGAATTGACTCTGAGGGGTTGGAGGTCCGCCAGTGGTGCGACGGCCTGGAATTCAAGAAGGGCTTAGTGTCCCCGAGAATGTCTTGGCGGAACCCTCACCAGGGCTCGAGACTGCCAACTTCAGAACCCCATTCTGCAAAATAATTGATATGGGTATGATGAGGGCGAGGAGATCGATAAATTGATGCAGGAATATATGGACAGATAGAAAGTTTTGATTCCAAGCATGTTCCAGGCCAGTCATCTCTCTCACAATTCCTCGACAAGAATATCTGACAAGGACTAAAGTCGGTTCCTCCTGCACCTGTTGCAAGCCAAGATGCGGCACTGCCTACACTCAAAGATGTATTTTGGAAGGTGAAAGTAGCATTCTTCGCACTGGTGAGGTCCAGGTATATATCGCCAAGTCTGATGTGCGCAGTTGTGTCGATCTCGAAGTATCCGCGCTGCCTCTTGCACTCGCCCAATACGATCTGGGTTATTAGCTGGAAGTTGCGGTACGTCTCGCTGAACCACTTGATTTGCTCGAGCTAAAAGGCGATCTTCGTTCCATTGAAGACATGTGCACGTCTTCCAGCGTGCTCCGCAGATGTAGCAAAATTGGTGCCCACAGCGGCATCTATAAGTGTTTAGTAATACGTAGAGCAATAACGCAGCGTAAAACGAACGTTATATGATTGCAGCCTATATCCAGTTCAACCAGTCGTCGACATGAGTAGCAACGTTGCCAGCCGTTGTCTCGCGCAAGATTCATTGTCGCCTGAAGCGCAGTGTCCCTCGGGCAGTCCTGGCCTTCGTGTGATTCTGACTTGCAAATAGTACATGTTCGAGCGGCGCAGCTAGGACAATTGGCAATTTCGTCAACGATATTCTCGGCTGATATGAAAAATGAACATTGCGGTCGGCTGCAGTATGTACGGTTAGGAGTGCTGAACTCGACCTTCTTTTGTTGAAATTCTTGTTTCAGTTCACTAGTCAAGAATATGCTCACGGCATCGAGTGGAATATTCTGGCGGCAGCATCGAGGAGGAAAAAGACTTTCATCTGTCAATGATGCGCCAAAGAGATCGCGGAGACAATCTCTGCAATATTCATGGTTGCATGGAGCGGCAACAACGTCGAAATACTTCTTTGGCTCACGGCAGGCATCGCAGTGCCGATCGGGATTGCCATCGCGGGTATCTCTGCGCATGGCAGCCCATGTAGATGTCTCAGGTTCTTCATCTGTCCCCCGGCCAAGCGCTTCAGAGACATAAAGGCCGGCAAGCTTCGACAAGGTCGTATCGTCGATCGACTCTGAATGTACCTTGACTTCTGAATCAATGTTGGTCCCATTCAATCGGTGTGCTAATGCATGATCTTCATGGGCTGCCTCCTCTTCCAGCGCACTTTGTGTAAGGATTATCCCATCAGCTTGGACAGCCCGCGCAATGCTTTTTGTCATTCGACGGTCTGCTAGGAATGTGCGAAGGTCGCCCAAAGTCTCTTCGAGGAGTCCCGCTGCAATTTCGGCATCGCTTCCGCTACCTTCACGCTGCTTGCCGGTTCTCGATTGCTTAAATTCCTCGAGGTCGTGAAGTTGAAGCTGCAGGATAAGATCAGCCGAGTCATCATCAAGGTTATCAAAGAGGAACGGCGATTGTGCAATTGTGGCCATAGTTAATACCAGCCTGGAACCCGCCAACGAGCGTTGCACGATACGAGAAGACAAATAGAAGGGCAAAGCAAGATACTCGTGACTAAGGTACAGAGCTAGAGATCGGGGGGTATGGGATTCAAGCTGAAGTTGATAAAGGCTCATTCCCCTGCGCAATCGATCCGAGATACCTGATTGGAGAATGGAATGTCACATGTCCCCTGGCTTGGTTCTTGGTCTTCAGTAAAAAAAAAA